TCACTAAACCTGGATTGATATTTCCCAAATCAAATAAATCAAAGGTGGAAAACATCTAGAGTATCTTTTCTGTATTCCAGTCAATACAGGAATGAAAGCTCATGCTTCTTTGAAGCAGTTAGTCTCCAAGGTGCCCTGCCTTACCTTCTTCCTGGGATGGTTCTTGAGCATTTTATCCTGTTCAGTTTCAAATGTCTCAAGTGATGGAACATCTGTTATTTTTCTTGTGAGGAAACTGTTGCCTAAAAAGTGGCATTGCTAAGAAACTCATTTGATAGGGTAAAGTATCCTTTATTCTTAATTTCATATCATTATCCCTAGTGATAGTTCTTTGAGCATATCCACCTTGGAAATAGAACCTTTCTGGCTTGCTGGAGTAATAACAACTGGGGTCTTGTATTTTCTTTCTTTTGATTTCTTATTTTTCATGATGTTTGCATCATTTTCTATGACCATTTCAGCTATAGCCTGTGGCAAAGAGCTAGAAGCATGAAATTTTGCTGTTATGCCGTGTGCAGATAAAAATGCTGTATTTGAAATGTAGCACTGACAAAATTTAAGCAGCAAATACCAGGACGATTATGAATTTTGAAGGTATTTTTCCTTAGTACTGGGATGTCTAGTTTATGGTTCCATGTTGCTCTGCATAGCTGTTCAGGAGAACTACTTCACTATAGCATTATCTTCTAAATAGGCTTTGACTACAAAACTTGTAATGTTCTGGTGGCATTGGAACAACAGTCACCTGATATTGCCCAGGGTGTTCATCTACACAGGAATGAAGAAGATGTTGGTGCTGGAGATCAGGTAATCACAAGTCATTCACATTAAAAAAAAGAAAACAATGGGGGGGAGAACCATTGCAAATGTCAGTTCAATAAATGATGTGCTAATAAACTCAAAACTCTGTTAGTTGCACTTACCATGTTATCCTTTGATAAAGAGAAAAAAAAAACTTCTGAAAAAGTTATGGGGAGAGAGTGAGTATAGTATTTGCTAATACTCTACTTAATAACATTTTTATAATATTTTCTAAATCAAAATCAGTATGGTCACAGTTCATGAGAATTTGCACAATTTTATCCTAACCTGACATATGACAGAAAATACATTTGTTTGGCTACCTTGGGTACATACCATCAAATTCATCTCTGGTTACGGACACACGTACATTTAGGAGGGCATTTCAAAAGGGCAACAGCTGTTACATTCTAAATAATATGTGTGAATGAGATGAGAAGTATTCAAATGCATCAAAAGTGTTCCAGCTTTAACACTATATCAAGGTTAAATTTGGTCCATGCTGCAGATCTAGGAATCAACCCTTAGCTGGTGTGGGAAGTTGGGGGAGCTATGATGATTAGTATTTTAGCACTTGGGAAAGTTAGCATTTTTGGATATGCTTTACATTTCTGTTTGAGTAGATGTAGATTTATAAGATGGATATATGGGCAGCAGGATTTGCCCCATAAGATCAAATAAATAAAACACATACAGTTATATGGGACATCAACCTTTTTACATACCTCATGAGATTTTTACATTGCAGAAAGGTGCTCTGAGCTTAAGCAAGATGGGAGCATTTGTTAATTGAATCCAATTGTGCCAGAACATTTGTAATTCTCATTTATTTCCCAGAGGCAGCGGCATGTTTTATTATAGTAGGTGTTCCACATAATTAAGACTGTCCAAGTGTACTTCTGTGAGCTGAATAGCATATGTAGATAATTACAGTGTATCCCCAAGACATCGGCACTAGTATAAAAGCTCATACCGAAGCAAGTGTGATTGTGTAGTTAACATTTACAGTTGTTCCCATTAGCTGTACTATCTAGTTTATGGTAATGTTGTTGAGAATCATAAAATAGAGCTATCATAGAACCTTGGAAGCAATGTAATATTACTGAAAATCCCCAGGAGGGTTAAATTAACAATTTCATTTTTATCACCACAGGCGCACAAGTTTTCTACCAAATGCCAGTGTATCTCAATATCTTAAGCACTTATATAGCCTTCATTCCTACAGTATCTAAGCACATAATAGTCTTTAATGTATTTATCCTCACAACATCCTATGAAGTAGGGAAGTGCCAGTTTCCTCATCTGTATCATTTTCCACATTCCCATAGATGGGGACCTGAGGTGCTGAGACTAAGTGACTTGCCCAGAGTTACACAGTTCTGTGCCAGAGTAGGAATTGATTGAAGTTCTTTGAAAGCCTAGGAAGCTGACTTGATCTCTGGACACTGCTTCTTCTCTGCACTCCTGAAATTACATACATCACCTGTAATGAAATGCCTGTGAGTGTGGCTAGTACAGGCATGTTGCCATGGAAAATTTTCCACTGAAAATGTTTTTTGATAAAATAGAAATTTTCACAAAAAGTGCAATTTTTGGAGAAGATTTTGGCTTTTTATCAAATACTTTTTAGCCAAAAAACTAAAACCTGTTTGGCCAGAAATTGAAAACGTTGAGGGTAGAGACTATTCCTAATGATGTGTTTACGAGTTCTTGATTTAGTTGAAGCCTTCTAAGGTTTGTCTGTAACACCGATGATAATAAAAGGTTGATCAAATGCCCTGTTTCCTTTTTGCATGCAGTGGAATCTTGTGGTCTCCAGCCACTATTGTACTACTATAATCACTGGCTGAAATATATATTCTCCTCTGCCATAATAGGGTTTGATGTTTGGTTATGCAACAGATGAGACAGAGGAATGTATGCCTCTAACAATTATCCTTGCTCACAAACTGAATGCCAAGTTAGCAGAGATGAGGCGCAGTGGTGAACTCCCTTGGCTGAGACCTGACTCTAAAACACAGGTAAGCATTGCCTTTGCTTCAGTTTTTCTCTTTCCTGAATACAGGAGTAGCTTGTGGAAGAATGTTTTCAAGCCTTGATCACTTGTGGGCAGGTAATAGCCATGAATTTATCTATCTGATTGAGTACAATTATCTTTTACAATTTCTCTCCTCCTCAAATAATGATTGTTAATGGTCTGTTTTATTCAGCATGTCACTTCATGTCAGGGGGGGGCAAAATGAGGCCTGTGGGCCAGATGGGGCCTGCCAGACCATTCTATCCGGCCAGGAGGGCCCCCCAAAAATTTAGAAAACTAATATTTATCTGCCCCTGGCTGTCTGTCATGCAGCCCTCAATGGCTTGACAACACTCAGTAAGCGGCCCTCTGCCCGAAGTAATTGCCCACCCCTGCTTTGTGTGAATTGCCTAGGACTCACAGAACATAGCCTGTTGTATGATCTCATCTTTCTGGTAGCACATAAAGTAGTTCCTCTGCTCATGGTATAATCTCTTGGGTGTAACATAAAACTGTTTGCATGCACCTAGATATTTGAGACAAGGTATTGCATAGCAGTGGAGGAATATTTATCTCTGGTGTACAAAGATCCAGGTGTTTAGGGTTAGGAAATCTTAAGGCTTTGTTTTTGCCTGTAAATTTTAGGACTGAAATTTTCAAAGGAGCCTAAGGATTTTAGTTTCAGTTGTACTAAGAGCCTACTTAGACTCCTTTTGAAAATTGCCACCTAAATAAAGGGTTTTGCTAGGGAGTGAATGATGCAAAAGGATAAAATACTCCTTTTGTGCATAGCCTTTTTGAACCTGAGTCACCAACATGGGCATGTCCCCAGGAGTGTACAAGTGTGGTTTGCAGTGCCACAAACCCATCTATGGCACTGCAAACCACATGTACCGCATGTGCTATTGTTCATCATGTTGCTAATTTGCAGTGTAGCATTTTTTTTGACAATGGGATCTCCAAAACTGCCCCCCAAAAAGTGGCGCAGTGCACGTGGCTGCAGCATGAGCCACCCAAAATCAGAGTCTGGCTGGCCAGAGACATACTCTAGCTGCTGGCTAGGCTCCATGTGCCTGGATTGTCCCCTGCTGTAGCCCTGGGAGGTCCCCCAAACTCCAGGTAAGCAGCTACCTGTTCCTTATGTATTAAGACCCAGTATCTGGTATAGAATGGCAATTCATCATACAATCATTTCTTGTTTCCCCCTCATTTCTCTTTCAGGTCACTGTTCAGTATGTCCAGGAAAAAGGAGCCGTGATCCCAGTCCGTGTTCACACCATTGTGATATCTGTGCAGCACGATGAAGGCATTTCACTGGAGACTATGCAGAAAGCTCTGAAGGACCGTGTGATTTTAGCTGTAGTTCCTGCCAAATACTTGGATGAGAAAACTATTTATCACCTTCAGCCCAGTGGACGTTTTGTTATTGGAGGGCCACAGGTATGTGGTTATTTCTTATATCTTGATTCTTCCACCAGTTTGCCCAGCATATGTTTCTAACAGAAGAAAATAATGCTGCAACTTTTAAATCAGTGACAGTTTTATTTATTTAAATGGGAACAGGACCAAGTGCTTAATGCACTGGATTCCAAAGAAACCTTTGAATATCCTGTCAGCATGGTATAATCTCAGGGCCCCTGCATATAAGAAACTTAGGTCAAATATTGTTGGGTTCTGGGCTCCAATAGCTCCTGTTCATTTCAGCATCTCACAAAATCACACCCTCAGTGGGTGTGTCTGTATGCACATTATCACACTTTAATTAATGTGCATTAAATCTAGTACTCCCATTGTGAAGTACTAGGAAAATGTGCATTAGCCTACCTTAATGCACATTAACTAAAGAGCATGGGGTGTCTATACCTGTGCTCAGGGGTGAAGGGGAGGGGCACTTTAATTGAAGCAGCTCTGAGAGTACTCAGAGGGCTCTGAGAGCCACTCTGATTAAAGTGCCCACAGTGTCACATGTGTTCAGCACCCCGCACTTCAAAATTGTGGTGGGGGTGCTTTAACTAAAGCTCATCAAATGAGCTTTAAAACATCCTCACTGCCATTTTGAAATGCGAGGACACTGAATACTCATGATGAAGAGGCTGCTGGAGCATGCTAATTAGCACGCTCCAGCAGACTTTCTGCAGACTAGATTAATCGAATCTGCTGTGACGTGTGCTAATTAGCACATGTTGGAGCAGAGGTCCATCATGTGTATAGGTGTCCATGGTTTTTAAGTGATGCTTAATGTGCATTAAGATAGGCTGATGCACATTAAAGTGCACCCAGTATGCTCACAAGAGAAACACCCATCAAACTAAATGGGTTGTCCAGTTGTTTATCTGCTGTTTGCTGGGAGGCCTGAATTTCAGATTTGTGCAGCACACAGTTCTGTAAGAAGACAATGAGAGCTGCAGGTGCTTAACATCCCTGAAAATCCAACCCAAGGCAGGCATCTCTTAGGGAACAAAAGGAATGAGGGGTTTGTCTGATTGAGATCTAGGAGTCAGGATTTAGGGCTTGATCATGATAGAAGCTAGTGGCTAAACTCCTCATTGACTGCAGGAACAGACCATTGGTCAAAGATGTATTTGTAAAATATCTTTTGATTTCACGGTTAGTTCCACTTTCCCCTTTGATTCTTCTTTCTTTAATTAGGCCAGTAGCATTTTGATCTTTCACTTAAAAGGGACATTCCTGAATTTTATTTTGGTCCCAGGCAGATGTTTTTAATAGGAAGCTCCTAAAATGACCGTTAACTTGGCATCATAGTATTGGCTCCAGGAGTTTTCAGGTAGCAAATACAAATGTTGAACAGAAGCATTTCTTAGAAAGACTGAGCAAACCTTCACAGAAAACCTGGGACAATGTTTGTTCAGTGCTATTAAAAATGGGAAAAATGGAAATAGGAAATATAGATATTTGCAGATAGTATCAGGAGTGTACAGCATGTTGCCAAAATTAATTCATCATTCTGCCAAACAAGAAATTTTTACTAGAAATGTTTGGTTAATGATAATATTATTAACAAAAGGAAGCTATACACCATTAGCATCCTACCTGGCATAATCCCCATTGGCAATAATTGGCCCTATAAACAAGTATATGAAGCCCACTGTGGCAACCATTATAAATTGCTGTTTTCTTCTGTATTTATGGTGTTCTGAATAGTCTCAAATAGATCTAACATCACAAACAAAACAAAACAAAAAAGCAAAAAGGAAAGGCAACAAAACTAGCATTACAAGCCTGGCCTTTTGGGAATCCGAATCAATTTCCACTCCTTCCTCAGTGATACTTCATGTTTTCAAAGCTAATGATGACTTTCATTTTGGCCTTGGCAAGTTAAGAATTACAGTAGAGTTCTGAGTTGGAATATGGTTGTAGCTTTGATGTTCTAGGAAATATGCAAAGCAAAGGGTTTTTGTGATATCTTTTATTAGACCAACAGTATAGTTAGGAGAGATGTTAAACAAACTGTCAGGCACAAAGTGCTCTTCTTCAAATCTGGGACAGAAGCAAGTGCAGCCTAAATTAATACCAGATAAAGTAAGGTCTCGTGTTTAACTCTCTATGTAAAAGAGGCACTTGAGGGAATGTGGGAGGACTTTAAACTTGGGGCAAAGAAAAGTTATCAGAAATAGTTTCAAAGCAAGAGAAATTTAGTTGAATGAATAACCTAATTATGGAAAAGAACAAGACCATTCAGCGGGGAAAAGTATTCCTGCAGATCCAGCAGGGGCAGGGGAGGGCAGCCACAGGCAAAGGTGTGGAGGAGTGAGGGGTGTTTATTTCCTGGGGTCTGAAGTCACACTAACACGTGCTCTGGCAGATTAGGCTGCACTTGCTTCTTTCCCATACCTGAAGAAAGGTACCTTGTGCCCAATAAGTTTTCTAACATCTTTCCCAACTATACAGTTTGTCCAGCAACTGATATCACCAAAAACTCCTTACTTCTTAGTATCATCTTAACAGCACCTAGTGATGATATTCACATTAAAACTGGTCTTAGAGTGACCTTTCACACAATTTATAAATGTATGTATTTTAGTTTAGATACTTTAACAAGTGATCCATGTTTGAATGCATTGTGGCTCACATCCACATCTCATTCTCTTTTACTTGGTCCTTCCATTAAGTAAATTAAGTTCATGAAACATATTAATCATTCTCATTGCAACTTACTGAATTCAGACCTTCCATTTGTGATCACACAGTCAGTTGCAACGAAAATGTAAGGTCTGAATTCACTACAAATATAAATTATAAATTAATTCTGAGTCTAACAGAGTAGTTCCAGATGGAGGGAGATTTTATTAAAGATGAAATACATGCATTTCCAACTTTAGTCCCAAGTCAGTCTACATACAGCATTAATATGCTTTAATGCCTGCACATGTAGATGCCGCCTATTTCTGCTTACTATGCAGTAAATTTAAGCCGGCGTAAATGCATGTGTAGACATACCCTGTTTCCTGTTCCCTGCCCTGTACTCACCACCCAGAATTCAGTCTTTCTGTTCCTTACCCTGTGCTTCCTGTCTGTTCTACTGCTCTGATTTCTGCTCTCTGCCCTATCTGCCAGTATGTTCCCTGACCCTCCCTGATCTGCTGCGTGCCATACACAGAAGCTACCCATGCCACTAGTGGCATGTGTGCCACAGATTGGCCACCTATCTTATATAATAATAAACTTTAAATGACTCAGAACCACTAGGTTTGTTCATAACTAATTTCTGCCTTTATGTTCCCATCTCTGTTGTCTTCATATCCAGTATGTTGCTTCTACTTGTTGTGCCTCGTTTTAAATCAATTTGGTAAAAGGAATATGTTTTCCTATATATTTACAAAATAGCCAGCATAATCAGATAAACTCTGAGCAAATGACAACCTGATCTTCCTCTTGTTATATCAACAGAAACCCCTTTATGTTAATTCAGTGAGATAACTTAATTGCTACTGTCATTTCCCAGGAAAAACTTGATTTCAGGCAGTTTCCTTTTCTGCAAGGAAATTATTGTCATCATAAAAACTTTTAAAAGATTATTCTTTTGAGAAAATTCATCTTTAGGATTTAATTTGTGAAATTCTTTTTCCACAAGGAAAAAGAAGAGAAGACACTAGCTAATAAATGCTAAAGAAGTGACATTTGTGTTACTATCTCAGGGTGATGCTGGCGTTACTGGTCGAAAGATCATTGTGGACACATATGGTGGATGGGGAGCTCATGGAGGTGGTGCCTTTTCAGGCAAGGACTATACAAAAGTTGACCGATCGGCAGCATATGCAGCTCGCTGGGTGGCTAAATCATTGGTGAAAGCTGGTCTATGTCGTCGCGTTCTAGTTCAAGTACATTTGATTTTTTTTTAACAGAAATTGTTCCTTTTTACCCTTTCCTTTAAAAATCTCCCTTAAAATGTGTTTATGTAGAAGAGATCAAGCAGCATGTCTTAGCTATCATAGTTGTGATAATATCTGAAGTGGTGTGAGTGGATAGAAATTAGAAGTGTTTGGAAGGATGGAAGCTTGATGAATTCAAAAGGAAAGAAGAAAGGAAGATCTGTTTTCTGCCAGGCTTTCAGAACACCAGCCTTTTATGCTTATTTATTGGAAGTTATCTTGACATGTACTATCACAGTGGAAATAGTTGCATAGACAGACAGATAAACTCTGGTGCTGCCTAGGCAACAGGAGAGAAGTATGGTGCTTGTGTATACTTTGTACTAATTCAGACTGAAGATTTAGATCCAGTGTGTGACTGGCCATGTCAATGAGATAATCACTGGAGATAATCCTGTTGGTGAATAAGGTACACAGAAGGTCCTAGGAAACACAATAAGTTTTCAAAGAATTTAGAACCTCTGAGTGTTGTTACAATTTGAGCAAAAGTTGGCAGTGGGCAGGAAGTGAAGGAAAAGCCTTTTTTTTTCTGAGATGAGACACCCATCCCTTATAAGAATGTTTTGTTCTATTATGTATCCTGCTGGCCACATGCTTCTTACCACTCTTTCTTTGTGCCAAAGGTTTCTTATGCCATTGGAGTGGCTGAGCCACTCTCTATTTCACTGTTCACTTATGGAACCTCTCAGAAAACAGAGCGAGAGCTGTTAGGTATTGTTCACAAGAACTTTGATCTTCGACCTGGAGTCATTGTAAGGTGAGGATGTGAGAAAAACAAAGTGAATACATGCTGGAAGTCCTCCTTACAGGTGTATAGTCTTTCCAGATGGAAAGAACATCCTAGATCAGCCTGTTCAACCACTTGGCTACTATAGAATTGAATCACATAGTATAAAAAAGTTATTTTAACAGTTTGTACAGATCATACATATTTATGAACCAAGCAGTGTGCTTCATCTTTTAAGGGGTAAGATGTTATGCCTAGCTTTCTTTTGGAATTATATGTGCTTAGCTGGTAGTCACCCCCTCAGATTTTGGTCCTCTGCTGGGGTAAATAAAGTTACAGTGTTCTGTGGCATGTGGAGTTGAATTAGATAAAATTTCCAGTACTGTTAACTTGGTTTTACTTGAGCTGCTTGAAAAATGGAGATTTTTTCCCCCCCAAATAAATTAATTGAAATTTGTCTCCCTTTGTTTGTCTAAATTCAGAATTCCCTTTCATTTCATTGGGCTTTCTTTCTAGTTATCAAAAACTTCAGACTAATTTTTATAGCTTTTATAGTCATTCCTTGGGAGAAAGTCATGTGTACATTTGCACTTCAATATAATACAAGGTTGCAAGCAGCCTATATGGCTGAAAAAGGAAATAGGTACAGTTATTGGATTTTTAAAAACAATATATAACATTCTCGTTTAAAATAAAGCATTTCTTTTCTTTTTGTTCAACACTAGGGATTTGGATTTAAAGAAGCCCATTTATCAGAAGACTGCCTGTTATGGTCACTTTGGAAGAAATGAATTTCCATGGGAGATACCTAAAAAACTTGCATATTGACAGTAATGCTTCTACCTCCAATGCAGAAGGGAAGAAGATTGTGCTAGTCAAGATGCTTCCAGAAATGAGTATTGACTACTTTTATACAATGGCAATTTTCTAGCTTTAAAATTTCAGATTTTCAGTGGACAGAAGGAAAAGGTTATTTTCATGGGATTGATTTTTACCCTAAATGTTTTATCCAGGTTCATTATCAAAGGCATCAAAGGCACTATTCATTTATATCACCATATGCCACCAAAAATTATGTTTTGTTTTTTAACTGCTGCTCTGTTGATTGGACTGATGAAAGCCAAAATATCATTAGGACACACCAACCTACCTTTACGCCTCAAATCTATCACAGTGTGTTCTTACATGCAAAGGAAAAGCTGTTCCTTGCAACTTTGCATATGGAGATGTAAGTCTGCTGACATTCATGATTCCACAGTGGAGAGTCCTGGGGTACAGTTTCCTTATTGGCGCTGCTTTCACAAACAGTGGTAAGGCATTTTGCCCAGAAAGAGTTCCCTATTGCCTAACTGCACCATATCTTCATTTTCAGGGGATGTTACTACGTACATAGTGTTTAAACCTTCTTTAGAGGTTGCCTGCTGTTACCATAGTGTTCTAATTAACTATGCTTTAAAGACTTATTAGACTTTATATAATACTCTTCTGGCAAAAAAGTTTTTAGTTACTTTCATAGGTGCCTTTTTTATATATAGTCATGTATCAGCTCATCAGATTTTAGACTGAATGGCTCATCTCAACCTGTGGCACATTACACTGCCACTGACTTTAGTACTGGCCAAAATTAATACTACCTGCCAATGTCACTGCTATCAAACACAGGAGAGCAAAGTACTATTAGTACTCCATAGTTAATAGATTTTAAGGGCATACTGTTAAGGTATCTTTCACTATAACTATCTTAATTTTCTCAATGGTGTTTATAACAACCCTGTATGAAAATGAAACTGATTTTTGTTTACTGTAATGTACTTTTTTATTTTTATGCACACACAGGTTTCTTATTAGAAATATCAGACTCAATGTGTTGGTTATTGGCACTGAGGCAATTTGGGAACAAAATCTGCACACACAAGTACTCACAAGACAATAGAGAAAAACATTGGTCCTATGAACCTTGACAACATCTCTTTAATTGAAAGGTAAATGCTTAAGTAGGTCACTAGATGGCAGTACCACATACCATAGATTTTTAAACTTAACATCTGTGAAAATATTTCTTTGCAGGTGGGATTTCAAACTGACTTGAGTAGGGCACACATCACTGCCCGAGTTAAAAAAAAATACCAGCTACTTTTTATTTTAGAGATATGTCACGATCCAGGCAATAGTTAGTTGTGGAAAAATGCAGTTTTGTGTGCCCACATACTGTGAGGTCTTAAAAAGTTAAACAGAAAAGGGAAACGGTAAATCTGCAAATGACTCAAAGAATTTGGAATCTATTGAAATTAAGGTCGTCACTGATTTCAGTGAGACTGGGTCTTGATTTTCTGGTGCCACTTTCACATTATGATAACCAATAAGGAGTGAAATTAATTTTTCTGACAAAGTGTGAGCCAGATATGATACTCAAAATTCACCTGCAGTTTAACAGATCAACAGGCCTTCTGTACTGGAGAAATTTTATCTCCCTCTCTCCACCCTCCTCTCCCACTCTACACACACACACAAACTTTTGTTTAATTACATAGTTTCCTGAATTGTGAAGGGAGCAGTTAGAATAATCATGTGAATGACTCCATCATCACAGATTTTAAAAAAAAGTCACAAAGCAGTAAAAGCACAGATATTATTCAAGCTTGTCTTCTTCCTGTGTCTCTTAAGTTTAATACACAGAAATCTCCTGCTGGTCAAGTCATGGGTATTTCCTTCATCATTTGTGTGATGCATCTCAAATAACAATTTGTTGGTTATGTAGCTAAAAATAGGATTTTGAACTCAGATCCCCAGAGGAAAGATGCCTCAGAGCATACCTGCATTTCACAAAGAGAGTTGCCCTTTAGTCAAAAATATCTTTGAGAGCAGCTTCACCTAAAGAAGTCAATTGGCAAAAATGGCCTGGTGAGATTCTGTATTCATTCCAACTCCCTACTCCAACTTTCATTCCAACTTTCCATATCAGAACTGCTCAGTTTGCAAATAGAGTTGTTGTGTGTCATTGCTAGCCTCGCACATGTTGGGACAGGGACCATCTTTTTTTGTTCTGTATTTGTACAGTATTTAGTGCAATGGAACTTGATCCATGACTAATGCTCGTAGGTGCCACTAATGTACAAATAGTTTTGCTCAGGTTCAGGGTGGTTTCTTTCTATCTCAGGCATTATCACTAGTATCCTTGGACCCATATTGTTCAACATCTTCATTAATGATGTGGACATTGGAGTCAGAAGTGGACTGGCCAAGTTCGCCGATGACACCAAACTTTGGGGTGAAGCATCCACACCTGAAGACAGGAGGGCGATCCAGGCTGACCTGGACAGGCTCAGCAAATGGGTAGATGAAAACCTGATGGTATTTAACACTGAAAAATGCAAGGTTCTCTACCTTGGGAGGAAAAACCTGCAGCATCCTTATAGGCTCGGCAGTGCTATGCTGGCTAGTACTATGGAAGAAAGAGACTTGGGGGTCATCACTGACCACAAGATGAACATGAGCCTGCAATGCGATGCTGCGGCTAGTAAAGCAACCAAAACGCTGGCTTGCATCCATAGATGCTTCTCATGCAAATCCCGGGATGTCTTCTCCCCTTGTACTCGGTCTTGGTGAGGCTGCAGCTGGAGTACTGTATCCAGTTTTGGGCCCCACAATTCAAAAAGGATGTGGAGAAGCTTGAGAGGGTCCAGCAAAGAGCCACGCGCATGATCAGAGGTCAGGAAAACAGACCTGATGATGAGAGGCTGAGATCTATGAGGCTCTTTAGCCTGGAAAAGTGCAGGCTAAGGGGTGATCTGATGGCCACCTATAAGTTTATCAGGGGTGACCATCAGTATCTGGGGGAACGTTTGTTCATCAGAGTGCCCCAAGGGATGACGAGGTCGAACGGTTATGAACTACTGCAAGACCATTTCAGGGTGGACATAAGGAAGATTTTTTTTACTGTCCGAGCCCCCAAGGTCTGGAATAGCCTGCCATCGGAGGTGGTTCAAGCACTTACATTGAACACCTTCAAGAGTAAATTGGACACTTATCTTGCTGGGATCCTATGACCCCAGCTAACTTCCTGCCCTTCAGGTGGTGGGCTGGACTCGATGATCTTCCAAGGTCCCTTCCAGCCCTAATGTCTATGAAATCTGTAACCAAAGATCTTTATTCTTTTATGCAGGCCAAATTACATTCCAGTATACACCTCAACACTTCTCTGTTACTCTTACTTTCATCTGTTGAGGCCCTTTCAAGTCTAATGGTTTTATACTTGTGTTACTGAGAGTATAATTTGAAGACTGTGGGTTATGTTTTGGGTTGTAATTTGGCTTTCAGATCCTCTATCATAGGATGGAAAGGAACACACACTGATTGTCAGGGGCCAGGATAAGTCTTCAGGGCTGGCAGATGGTATACACAAAGTTAGAATGAAATTGAGTCTAATGCTGCTCTGTATAGGCCACCTGCTGTGCTGGACTGGACCAGCCTGAGGACTATGTTAATTTATGCAGCCTGAAAATAGCTCCAAGGGGCTGAAAACATCCTAGGAATTAGGGTTGTAGAGAGGAATCTTATCTATGCTCCTTTCTTTTCCCTGTACATAGAATCAGGAAGGCACAAGAATCCTCTACCTCCACTCTGCTGCCAGGAGCAACACATTTACTCAGGGTGATCCTTCTGCCACACAATATTAAATTGTCAGTGCAGGTCATGGTAACCTACTGCCCCACAGGTACTGGTTCTATTTAGATGGTTTCCTTACCAATAAATTACAGAAGCCCACAAGGCCATTTTTACAGTCTCTTTTGTTGGCAAATAAAAATCATACTTCGCTGCTAATCTGTTACTAAAAAACATGCTGCTGCTGTTCAACGACTGTTTGTGTTGTCTGTCAGGCTACAGATAACAAAGAAATGTATCTATTAATTCTGTCTCAAACTAATACAGAAATACAGTTGTAGTTCTACACTTACCTGTTTGATAGGAGCTCCACAACATGACCTAACAGTCAAGAAGTCAGTGAGGATCTTTCCACTCTCTTCACTGAGGATTGGATCAAGGAAATATTGGAAACATCACTGGGAAAGGAAGGAAGCTTGCAGAGGAGAATCTGAAAGATCTCCATATAGCTGAAAGCATTGGTTATCACAGTGTTACAGGAAAACACTGGCGATCTTGGAAATGTAACATGATTTCATCATCATAAATTTAGGCTGCTATAGAGGAAATAGCAGCAACTGTTCTGGCCAAGAGAAACCCATTTAATGTAAAAATGAGAATTTATGATGATTTTATGTTGTTGACATAAAAAACCCTGAGCCAAGAAAGTCCTTTTACCTTTGTATTTTGCATGATAAGAATTGTAAGCATGTTTGTGAGAAAATATTACTTTGTAATGTAAGTTGCATTTAGTAATTTGCTTCATGATACATTTGTTCTTCTGAATACAATAGCCCCTTTTCTTTTAAATGTGGATTCAAAAATATGCTAAGACCCTGTCTGACTGGGAAGCTTACCTATTGCTGTGACTGGTTGACATCAACGGATCCTACCAGAAATAATAAGAAAAGTTGTTTTAAGTTAGGGCATGGATGGACATTTGAAATAATCCAAATCCCTTCAAATCTGGTGTGCTTCAGTGCTGAGCAGAGATGTGATCCTGCTACCAGGGTGTTTCAAAATGACTGCAAAAATATGCAGCAGCATGTCTCTCTCTAGCAAGGGGGAGGTGCATAGGAGTGTGCTTGTTGGCTGACTGTCTCACTCTCCTCCCAGCCCTCCTCCAATGCAAGGGTAGAGAGCAGAGCATTGTGGGATGCTGGTGGACCACTAGAGGTTGGAGTTGCTTTAGGAAGTACTTCAAATATGTGCCTGTTTTCTCAAGGGTCGTTTTTGAAGTTCTTCTTTGGTTGTGAATGTCTGTACCCTCACTATTTGGAACACTTCAAAGACATCTGGAGAGCTTCCACCCGCACATCTGTCTAAGGTTTTAATATAGATAAAATGGATGCAGTGGCAGACAGTTGACGTATCTTGCTGTGGCTCCAGAGGCATATGTGCAAGGCATTCTCTGGATTTATATCAAAGGTTCTCTTGGGCTTTGGGCCTGAAGTCTGGATGTGGTGTGAAGTTACATCATTCATGTCCACTGCTGGCTATAGAAACCATTGTACTTTAATCATATTGTATCTATGAGTTGCTGGGCTTACAAGGACATTTGCCATTAACATTTTGGTAGGCAGGACAAATGAGTTTTCAGTCCAGTTCCAGACTGTGATTAAGTCTCAGGTTCCCTGTCTGTATATGGAACTCAAGTACTTTACAATAGCAGTTACTTTTTGTCAAAATTATTAAGTGTGGGATGGGAATAAATAACTGTGAGAAGAATGTTTCATGTACTTTCTGTTTAGTTGCCTCCTTTAAATATGCCTCCTTTAAATCTGACTGGTTTGGTGCTTAGCATTCAGAATGGATTCTCAGTCCCAGACTATGAGATCTTTTGTGAGTCAGATGTGTGTTAGTTTCCTTGTATGTACAGTGGGCTAATAATAACAACATCAATACTAGTAATATCTACCTACCTCACAGGCGTGTTGTGAGGCTTGATTTAACTGTGAAATTGACTGAGATCCACGGGTTAAAGGTGCTGTAGGCATGCAGTTATTAATGTTGCAGATAATTTTCCTTGTGCTCAGTAAACAGTTCTGAAGATGAGCTCGTGTGCATTTTTTTGGTAAGCTATCCCCAATCTGAGTGCATGTTCTCACTTATCTTACCCTTCCGTGACATACATGTGCCCAGACATCTGATATTCTGCTTCAACGCCTACTCATACTTCCCCGAAAGCACTTAGCAGTGTCTGTCTCCCCTACCTCCAGAAGTCCCTTACTTGGGCAAGACGTGACTTCTACACTCATCCTTACTACATTAACTTTTCACGCTTCAGGTGCCTAACTCTCCTGCATGCTACGCACATACCCACAGCCCCACCCCACTTCATCTCGTGTACTTTCCTTCCAAAAGCAACCTAACTCTGCTGGTGCCTGCTTAACTAGGTAGATGTTGCAGCAGAAACAAAGAACAGTGATATTCAACCTTTTGGCCCCATAGGCCAGATAAATGGAGTGGCTGACTGTATCAAGCCCAATGCACCTTGGGCCCAGCACCACATCCTCTTGCCCCCTTGTGCTGGGACTGGTTCCTGGCAGCCTGGCATTGCCCCTGCCCACCCTGGCACACCTGAATTGGTGCCCCAGAGCCTGGTATTTGTCCCTTCTTCTGCCACATGCCAGGTTTGGTCCCTGGAGGCCTGGCACCTGGGTTTTGTCCCTGGGAGGGGTTGGCACTGCCCCCTCCTATCCCAGTGCACTGGGATTTGGCCCTAGGGGCCCAGCATCCCCCCTGCCCCCACCTAGCCTCCCAGGTGCTGGAATGGGGTCTCTGGAGCCCCATGCTGCCCTGTGTGCTGGGGTTGGGCACTGCCTTTAGCATACAGGGCTTGGGACTCCCTATGGGGGAGTGGTGCCACCACCAAATTTCAGGATGTGTGGAAAGTCCAGTGGACCAGATCACATGGGGCCATGGGCCAGGGTTGAGCACCCCTGCTGCAGAGAATCTGGGATAATAAGCAGCAGTGCCAGAGTTTCAGAATGATCAGGGAGACTTTCAGCAAGGCCTATGCTGTGCTTGCCATTGCTTCAGAAGCAGGTGGCAGTTCGAAGTTAGAAACCCTCAGTAGCCTCTGTCCACCAGCCTAGGGATGTAAAGTGTATCAAATGGCTAGCTGAAAGTCAGTGCCAGTTGTGTGGGAGGGTGGCAAATCTGTACTCGTGATCAGTGTAGGATCTGACCATAGCATGGGTAGAACTATACAGGAAAAGTTTGGGGATGTGAGGGGGTGGCAGAAGCAAGTGTCTGGTGTACAGAAGGAATGTACCAGGTGGTGCTTGGTCATGGAATAGAAGAGTCTGCACCCAAGGTAGGAAGACTGAAGGGGACAAAATGGTGAATTGCCAATATTGTCAAGACCCTCTCCATCTCCCAGTTGAGGATGGCTGAGATAAATTACTGTTTTCTTGCCCCATTCCTCTCCATAGTCTACCATGCCATGCCCATGGTTGCTCTTGTGGCTTTGGTATTCCAGTGTTCTTAGAAGATGCATGCCTGGCCTGAGTTAGTCCCTTCTTGACTAGGTCAGTACAGCAGTCATGATGGAACTCCATCCTAGCATGCTTCTCTCCTTCATCCACCATTCTCTTCTTAGATGAGGCAGCCAGGTCTGTCATCATTTATTCCTTGTTCCTCTTTCTCCTCTCATCTCCTTTCAGCCACTTGCTGAACTCCTGTCTCAGATAGTGCCCCTGAGACTTCAGGAACAGCAGCGGAAGCAGCAGCAACTGCAGTTGTTGACCATAAAAGATACAGAAATCAAGAAGACAGCTTTGTTAAATTTGTCCAACTTGCTCCTAATTCATAAACTCCCTTCAGTTATTGTATTTCATCTCTGGAACCCCTTCACTTTACAGCCAGGCCCCATAGCTAGTAGGTACTTATATCCTGAGGCTCTAGGATTGGGACCCTGTTCTCGATATAACTCTCAAGCATGTGAAGGAGCTTTTGTGTCCCCAAGGAATGGAATCCACCAAGAAATGATGGGGGAGGAAGAGATAGCGTATTTGGGCTGCCATAACCCTTGCTCCAATTTTTCGTGTGGGTGATGGGAGAAAGTACAAGGCCTCCAATGCTCCTGAATTTTGCTCTGTCTTGAATTTTGATGATTCCTCATGCATGCCCTTGAGGAACTGAGTCTTTTTTTTTTATATGTCAGCAGCACAGCACATAGCACTGGTTTTTGCAATTATGCTAGAGAAAATGGTCCAACCAAAGGCCCTTGCTCAATGACAGGCTTATGTGAATTATGGTGAGGATGCTGTGGAAAACTTGGACTTCATGAATACCTCTGCATACCTAATATGTAGTAACAGAGTTAAGTTTAGCACTTAGTGCCACAGCCACAGTTTTTTTCATTAAAAAAATGGCTGGTGGAAGAGAGGCTGTGTGTGAAATACAGATAGCTCACCAGTGTAGGGATTGAGAGACTTCGTGGGAAGACCCACTTTGTGGGTTCAGGAGCATGCCCAAACCACTAGATGCTATCCTTCATTCATCATGTTTAAGCTGGGTCACTGTGTATAATGGATTGTAAGATTCAGTGAAAAAGGGAAGGCTAAAGACTACACCTTAGTGAAAAGAACACGCCATTTACAATATCAAATGAGTGGATAAAAAACCTAAAACAAAACCAGGCCAGGAAACAGGATTGTATCTGTACAATCATTGTATAACATAAGAAATGAATAGCATAGTCAAAGTAAGCAATTTATGAAGACTCTCTAGACTGAAAACAGTGTGAACTGCTTGGCAAATACTTAGCAATAAATTAGTAGAAAGGGGGATAATTTTGTGTATTATTCACAGACAAAGCAAAAGATTCTCTACTTGATTGGACCTCATGTAGCCATTTAGATACCTGCAAAACATGCTTAAGAGATGAACCACTCCTCTCCCCTCTTCCCCACTCCCCCCACACCCCATCCATCTCCCCCCCACCGCACCCCGACTTCCCCACACGTAATATTTTATTTACTTTGCCCTGGTGTAACCAGATACAAAAGGTACCAGGCAGTGGTGAACCAGTCCTGTAGGGCTAACTGCATTGGATGATATATTCAACACAACTGATCAATTGACCTAGTTATCTTCCTTTACTGTTATCTCTGCTGTGAAGCTGGTCCAGTAGCTCTAAAGCAAGTGAAAACACCTGTTGCTGAACCAATTATTTGAGATGAAAATGCAGGCAGCATTTGTAGTTTGGCAGATGGTAAAAAATGATGAAGATATTTACAGCAGAACAGTTAGTTAGTTAGAGGATTTGCCAATTCTTTTGGCAGAACAAGCAGGCACTGCAGATTTACCTACCCACAACCATGTTGAGAAATTTTGCCTGGATATTCCTGGCAGGGTTTCAAGTGGTTTCCCAACAGCTTAGGTAATGTGTATACTTGATCATACTCTGTGATTATTTTTACCTTGTCAACTTTGGACAAACCACAATGTAAACAACCAGTAATTTAACTGTAGCCTTGTCCCCAATTTCTGAATTTCAGTTTTTGACTTCACAAGCAAAGAAGTCAAACTACTCCCTTAACTACGCTAGCAGCAATGCAGTGCCACTCTCACAGCCCTTGGAGTATGCTGTTTTTCATGATTGCACTATGGCTTGGTGCAGGTAAGATATGACTAGTTTTTACTACTATCACCTTAAAGGAAGCATATATTTAAAAAACATTTTGGGCCCTTAGTAGAAGGCAGCTATTGCCATATTTTGGCACCTAAATTGATACGGGCGTGTCTAAAACAGCTATTTGAGCACCCACGTCGTTTGTTTTTATATGAAAAGTAACATTCTTAGTTACACTTGTTAGACCAGGGGTTGGCAACATTTTTGGCTGGAGTGCCAAATTCACCCCAACCCTCAACTTGGTATGCCAAGGGCAGACTGCAGGGGAGCTGTGAGAGGCCTGATCCTTGTTGCTGACAGCAGTTGGTGGACAGCAGGGGAGGAGCCAGGGTTGCACTGCCCTGGCCCGTTCCCTGCCCTGCACTCCAAGACATGCGTGCAGTCACTGCCACTATGGAGCCTGGCTGGGGCTATGCAGACTGGTGGGCCTCATGCACCATGCTCTGCCATGTGTGCTGGGGGTTTCCAACCCTTGTGTTCACATGGTTTTCAGCCTAGAGAGTCTTCATAAATTGCTTACTTTGACTATACTATTCATTTTTTGTGTTATACAATGATTGTTCAAATACACCCATAAAAGTCTGTGTTTGGAACAATTCAGTCAAAATGTGTGCCTAGCTGCTTGATACTGTCATTATTTATTTGACAAGCAATGCTTGCTTGTTTTAAACTTATATAATCTTATATTTGTGACCTTTAAGAAAAGAAGAACTTTAAGGAACCAGATTTTGTTTATTTCTTTTCATGGGAAGCAGTGAGCCCAAAAGTAGGTCCTAGAGGGAGTGCCCCTCAGACCCAAACTTGGCACTCTACAGTACTCATTACCTGGCCATTAGCCCTGCAGGTGACATTTGGAGAAATTTTATGGATTTGTTTAGATCTTACTCCTCCTGCAAGTGGTTTACTCTTTTGGCTCAGAATGAGCCCCTTATGCTCTGTTGTGAGTGGATTCCACCTACCTAATCTCCATATCTATCCTAGAAATGTTAGTGACAGAAAATTATTCCCATCTGTGGCTTAACAGGATGAGAGCCTTTTTGTCTTTGAACCTTGTGGTTGAGATGCTTGTTGAGCAAGTGGGAGACCAAACTTCTAAATACTCCCTCACCCCGAAGGGATCTGAGGGTACATCTCTTAACTTTCTAGCCAAGTAGTCTAACCACTAGGCCACAGAAACACGTTGCCAATCACACCTCCAACTGCTCCTGTTGAAGCTGGTACACTGGGAAGCCAGGAGGAGAAAATTTGTGGGGTGAGAAGGAGCCTTAAGCAGAAGGAGCATGGTTTGGTGATGAGCATGGCTTAAGGAGTCTGAAGCTGTGGCAGTGGCCCCTATTGGTGTTTGGGTTTTTGGTATTATTGAATGAAATGTTATGATAGCAGAAGGTTCACTTCTGTCTTCTCTGTGCACAGG